CCCCCCCCCCCCCAAAAAAAAAAAAAAAACACAAAAAAAATAATAATAATCATCCCGATTTCCCTTTTTGCCATTAAAGTATAACTGGGTCCTTCCATCAGACAATATGAGATTCCAAATTCCTTATTTAGCAGAGGGGCTGATGGACAAACGGGATCATATTCTAGGTGCGCCTTGGCAGATGAATCCATTAATTTTTATCTTTTGTGTGCAAAAATGTTTGGCCCCAGTTTCTCTTGGTGGAATAATAGGTGTGTGACCTTCGGCGTGGTGATATATCCTTCAAAATTACTTGAAATAAGGTTATTTGCTGAGAAGAGATCTATTAGTCAAGCATAATCTGCTTACCTTGGGCATCAAGTTGTAGAAACCAATGTCTTGAATGTCTTTTCTTATATAGTTCCCTTGGAGAAAGAGCAAAATTATTTTCATAACTTGTCAAGATTCGTTCGACCTTTTCCAATGATAATTAAAGAGGTCTATTAGGGTGATTAATATACTCTATACTGAAAAAAAAACTGTATCTTAGACGGACGTCTAGGTATCTTATTTTCTGTGTGAATCAACCATCAATTCCCCGATTGTTTTGTCAAAATTTAGTTACTCGCAAATTACAGTAGAATATAACGAAAAATATTCAGGAAATGTTTGAAGAAATCATAGTAAAAGAAAATAATGTTTGGTTGCTCTAATAGTAAGTGTGATGTAAAATGGGATAGATGGAGTAAATTATTCTGATGGTCGAATGATCGATCTTCAATTTTATTTCAAAACTTGATTGTCGTTATTATAGTTTTTTTTTTGACTGTTTAGATTAGTAGATTTTAGATATTACATGAGAAACTAACATATTAGAATTGAAAAAAGTTTATTTTTTGACTTCAGCAAGTAAATTATTCTTTTGGGACAAAGGGAGTACACATACATATGTGTGAAGGTTTCCAATTAGGCAAATAGGGACAGTGTGCACTATGTGTGTTGGTAGGGATGTCGGAGGTATTAGTCTATATCTAAATGCTGTTAGAGACTCCATTGAGTTGAATTTCACATAGAAATTGGTCCTTAGTGGTTCTTATCTTCATCTCTCAAGGTATTACATTAAATTGCAGTGTCAAACCTGTGGCAAAATGTTTCTTTGTAGCTTTTATAATGTATAAAGTTTATGTGTGTTATTTATTTAGGATGGAGAGAAAATTAGGAGGAACAAGTTATTGGCCTCTAAGGTAGAGGAAACTGGCAGAGTAGATGCTGTGCCTATTGCTCAGTCAGTGCATATCCAAGAAAAGGTTGTAATTGATCATTCTTCAACTTCAACAAACAAGCCATTATCCAGTACTGCAGCAGTGAGTGCTTCTACAAGAATGCCTGTTTCCTCAGCAAATGGTCCTGATGTGGATCGGCTGAAGCAGGAGAAACTAAAGGGAGTTTCTGGCAGCTCTGTTGATCCACGAGCAGCAGATGCTTTGCCGAAAAAGAAAATAAAGAGGAAACAAGAGTCGGAATTGGGTGAAAGTCAATTCCACACCGAGAAGTTGACTTCCATACAGGCGGAGGAGAAGAACAAAACCAATAAGCAGACTGTCTGTCCTCCTCCAAAACCAAATAATGTTCAGCAAGTAGCGCCCTCACTCTGAACAGCTGACATGATGTAAGTTCTCCTTTTGGCGGCTTCATTGATTGTAACTCTTTTCTTTTCTAGTTTTGTATGTATATAGTTGTTAACATGGTGTATTACTGACAAGAAACTCAGACTTGAGAAACTGAGCTTCTTATTTTGAAGTTACAGCTGAAAGCACATTTAGTTTCATCACGAAGGCAAAAAGTTAGAAAGAAGATTGATTTCATATGGTCACTGTCAGATAAGGCCCTCTATTGGGCATTTTGATGCTAGTTTTTATGGCCTGGAATTTGCTCGCTTCCATAGTTCATTGCAGCACCAGCTTTATGTGACTTGAAATTCCATACTCCGTTCTGAGTGAGTCTGATCTAACCCAAAATGTGGAACTTTAACATTTATCCTGATTGGGGTACAACACAACTATTTTCTAGAACAAGCAAAGTTCTCGTTTTCAGAGGCTGTTGGAAAGCTAAGCGAAAAACAGAAAAATTTCCTGCTCTCCACCCAAAAACCACACTCAAGATCACGCCTAAAATAGCATTTTTCAGTTTATCTCTGGTCCAAAACGATCCTAGATTCTTCTTTTTCTGTTAATTCTTTCTTTTTTCCTTAAAACGAAACAATAGATACTCTTAGGTTTAATTGCTTTAAGCTGTTTGGTCGTTCTTAACATATAAATTTTAACCACTGAGTCTCAAATAATGTTTGAGTTTTGGACATTTTCTAACAAATATCCACTTAGAAATTCTCCTGTATACAGCTGTTTTCTGGATATCGTTAAAATTTGCAGCAAAATAAGGAATATTAACCAATTAAGGGGGGCTTGTGTTAGGAAAAAGTTAAAAATCCACTAGTATTCAAGTTCAATAAATTAATAAAGGCAATTCCATACAATGGAAAACTTTTCTTCAAATTAGTATGTGGTTCATATAAGGAGAACTATTCTAATGAAATAAATTTTATTTGAGCTAATATCACTAGGAAGTCTACAAAACGAGGGTGATAATAAACAATCATAAACAACAAAGAGGCGCTTAGGTAAAAACAACTCAGTTCAGTTATCATTTCACGATCGACGCGTAAGAAGGATTAAACTGCCTAGCAAACCTAACATGTAGCATTTCCCATTCACAATTGTATTCTATAGCTCATCCTACACTTTCTATTCGAATACCAACAAGGTTTTTACAACAAACATGATGTTGTTATAAGAGAAAACAAATTATGGTGGATGTCTACTCTTTCTCCGTGATCTTCTCAAATGCTTAATGACATATTCAATGACATATTTCTATGCTTAATGACATATTCAATGACATATTTTTGTTCACTTTTCATGTCTATATAAAGGCCTTGTAATAGATAGGAAAATACACACAATTGAAGAAGAAATAAGAATCTCTCTTCCTCTCTTTCTCTCTATATCTCTTAGTTTATTTTTCCTTGTTCGATATTGTTACTTTGAGTTATATTTCATAATACGTTATCAACACGATTGTCACCTTCATTTTCACAATCACATCCTAGTTGTGTTCGATTCTCCTTCAGGTATATCACTATATATTCTTTTAGTTTATGGTAATATATATGCACCAATATGCTATTTATTAACAAATTCATATACTGTTAAGCATTTATTTTAGTTGATCATGTTACTGAAGTTCTCTTACCTTGCTTATTGTTAAAGAAAATATAAGATATAGATCTTAAGTGCGTTAAAACTAACATAAACAATTTAATAAATATGTGTGGAATTGCGTAGAGCAAAGCTTATCTTCAAGACATTTTACAAAAATAAAATAGTGATAACCAAGGTGACAAAGTAATTATTGTACATACTAGTTTAAATTACTTTACAATTGGTGGAAAGTAATATTTGAATACATTCACTCTTATCACCGTATATGGTTATTCCTCAAATCCCCGTTTATAATAAATTACTTTTCTTTTACCATACCGAATATATCTCTTTGTGTTTATTCAGAAATGTGTGTTGTCTGGTGGGATCAGGTTGCGCGCCGCAACAACCTATGTTTCCATTTCGTGAGCTGTGTTTNATATGTTACTTAGACCTCTTTTTATTTTTATTTTTTATACTACATGTTTGAAGTGATCAGCTTCTTAATTAGCTGTCTGATTTTTTTTACAAGTATATTTTCATTGATAATTATTTTTATTCTTTCTAACCTATTTACTTTTGTGATTAGTTTCAATATGTCAAACTTGTCAAAGCTTGAATTCGTGGCACTAGACATTACCGGAAAGAATTATTTATCATGGGTCCTTGATGCTGAAATTCACCTTGACGCTAAAGGTCTTGGAAATACTATTATACAAGGAAATGAAGCATCAAATCAGGATAAAGCGAAGGCCATGATTTTACTTCATCATCATCTACATGAAGGGTTAAAAACTGAATATTTAACCGTAAAAGATTCACTTGAATTATGGATTAATTTGAAGGATCGATATGACCACCTAAAACTTATGGTATTACCGAAAGCTCGGTATGAGTGGATACATTTAAGGTTGCAAGACTTTAAAACCGTAAGTGAGTATAATTCTGCTATCTTTAAAGTAAGTTCTCTATTAAAATTATGTGGAGACACTATCACAGATGAGGACTTATTAGAAAAAATATTTTCTACTTTTCACGCTTCAAATGTGGTGCTATAACAGCAATACCGTGAAAAAGATTTTAAGAAATATTCTGAGTTAATCATATGCGTACTTGTGGCAGAGCACAATAATACTCTATTAATGAAAAATCATGAAGCCTGTCCCACTGGGTCAGCACCATTCCCGGAAGTGAATGCTGTAGCAGCATATGATAAGTCTGAAAGAAAATAAAATAATTACCGTAGTCGTGGACATGGTCGTAGATATGGATGTGGCAGGGGACGAAACAATTATCGTCATTATGGTGGAAATAAACAGGAGAACAATAAGGGTTCTCAAATTAATCCTTCAAAAGGTAAAATTAGTATGTGTCACCGATGTGGTATGAAAGGTCATTGGGCACACATTTGTCGTACGCCAGATCATTTTGTCAAACTTTATCAAGCCTCCCTTACAAAGAAAGAAAATAATGTGGAGGCACACTTGACCTTTCAAAATAATGATGATAAAGCAGGTCCCTCAAACAAATATGATTCTGAGGCACATCTTGCATATAAAGATGATGATTTTGGAGGCCTAACAAATATTACTCATTTAGAAGCTGGAGATTTCTTTGAGGATATTGACTGAAGAACTAATCATCTTACTAAGGAATGAAGCTATAATAAAAGTTGTCATTTTTTTTATGTTTGCAACTAGCTTATTTTTCTAAAGTGTATTTTCTAATGCTCATGTGTTGCTAGTTTCTACATTCCTAATGTATTTCTTAATTTTTGTTTGTTTGTCTTTCATATTTCTTATAATGTACTTTTTGATTTTTTTATGAAGAATATGAAAATTTCCTAGTCTTCAGTTGGACTCAAGATTAATAAAGATGATATATGTCTTCTGGATAGTGCTACAACACACACTATTAGATAAGAGATATTTCTCTTATTTGGTAATGAAAGAAGCCAATGTTAATACAATATCCAGTAGTACAAGATTAGTTGAAGGTTCTGGAAGAGCCAATTTATTACTACCAGGAAGAACAAATTTGGCTATTGATGAAGCACTATATTGTAGTAAATCTCAAAGAAACTTATTAAGTTTCAAAAATATTCGCCAAAATGGCTACCATATTGAGACTACAAATGATGAAAAAATTGAATATCTTTATATTACTATAATAATATCTGGTAAGAAATATGTGCTTGAAATGTTACATGCTCTTTCCTCTGGCTTATACTACACAACTATTAGCAGGATTGAAACGCATGCCATAGTAGATGAAAAGTTTACTAATCGAGATAATTTTATTATTTGGAATGACCGGTTGGGTCATCCTGGTTCTACTATGATGCGTAAAATAATTGAGAATTCACATAGACATTCAATGAAGAACCAAAAGATTCTTCAATTTAAGGAATTCTCTTGTGCTACATGTTCTCAAGGCAAATTAATTATTAGACCATCAGCTATTAAAGTTAGGATGAAATCCCCTACATTTCTGAAACGTATACAAGGTGATATATATGGACCCATTCACCCTCCATGTGGACCATTCAGATATTATATGGTTTTGGTTGATGCATCTATAATATGGTCACATGTGTGCTTACTATCAACTCGCAATATGGCATATGCGAGATTGTTGGCTCAAATAATAAAGCTAAGAGCACAATTTTCAGATTATGCAATTAAGACAATTCGTCTTGATAGTGCTGGTGAGTTTGCATCCCAAGCCTTTAATAATTATTGTATATCAACTGGGATAACAATTGAGCATCCGGTTGCTCATATTCATACACAAAATGGTCTAGCAGAATCATTGATCAAACGGCGCCAATTAATTGCTAGACCAATGCTTATGAGAAAAAAACTTCCCATTTCATTATGGGGTCATGCTATTTTTCTTGCAGCAACACTTGTGCAGATAAGGCCCACAAGTTATCATAAAGTCTCCCCAATGCAATTGGCTTTTGGCCAGGGGCCAAATATTTTCCATCTTAGAATCTTTGGTTGTGCGATATATGTTCCAATTGCTCCACCACAACGCACAAAGATGGGTCCCCAAAGAAGGTTGGGAGTATATGTTGGGTATGAATCTCCTTCTATTATAAAATATCTGGAGCCTATGACTGGAGATTTATTTACGACAAAATATTTTGATTATCATTTTGATGAATCAGTATACCCAACATTAGGAAAAAAAATAAGCAGTTGAGAAAAGAGATATATTGGAATGTATTATCACTATCTCATTTAGATCCTCGAACAAATCAATGTGAACAAGAGGTTCAAAAGATAATTCATTTGTAAAATATTGCAAATCAACTGCCAGATGCATTCACTGACCTACCAAGGGTGACTAAGTTACATATTCTAGCTGCTAATGCTCCAATTCGAGTGGATATCCCGGTAGGACAATTAATTAAAGCAAACGAGTCCAAACCATGCTTGAAACGTGGCAGACCAATCGGTTCCAAAGATAAAAATCCTCGAAAAAGAAAATGAGCAAATGATCAAAGTGATCATAAGACGGAGGTAGTGACTAAAGAAGAGCACAGAGACATAACAAATGATAAAACTTCAAGGGAGGTTCAGATACCTGAAAATGATGAGAATGG